TGACGTGCACACAGGGCTGAGAATGACACATCTAGAAGAGTGTAAGAATGGCAAAGCCAATTTCGGATGCTTAAAAAAGAAGGAAGAGCAACCACCTCCGTCATGGATTAAAGTTCATTATACAGGTAGGATGCTATGCTTCCAGCACAGGAGAAGCAAAGATCAATGAAACAAGCAAACAAAACTCCAGAACTGGACCCAAGCCCTGTATAACTTGAAAATGAGTAAAAAGTAATAAAAATGGTATATCACATCACTGGGGAGAAAGCTGGACCAGCGATATCTAAGTAAATGGCACTGGGATGACAACTGTAATTTGGGAAAAAACATACAGCTAGATCTCTACATCTCACTCAAGCCAAAAGCAATTCTGAGTTAAAGATCCAAGATTTAAGGGAAAAGAATACAGGAGAATATTTCATAATTTTGTAACAGGGAAAGCATTCCTAAACATGATATAAAACCCAAAAGCCACAGAGGAAAAAAATGGATAAATCTGTTTCCATAAAAACTGGTAACATCCATTTATTTGGTGAAAAACATAGAACTATCAAACTGTAAAACCTAAGTACCCATACGTCTGGTAAAACAGACTTCAGCAAATAGAAAAGAGGAAAAAACTTACATTTATTAAAAGGTTTTAATTTTTAATATACAAAGAATATTAAGAATATAAACCAACAAGAAAAAAAGGAAACACAACAGAAAAACTAACAGAGAATATGGGCACAATATAAATGCCCAGGAACTCAGGAAAAGACATTTCTGCCTAAGAGAAGGACAAATCAGTAAAAGGATGTTTACTGTCAGTGCTGGAGAGGATACGGGGGACAGACTCATCTGCTTTTGGTGAGGGCATAATGTGTACAATGTTTATGGAGCGTATCTGATAAGATGCTTATTAAAAATGTATCCTGGGGCGCCTAGGTGGCTCAGTCAGTTAAGCATCCAACTCTTGATTTCTGCTCAGTTCACGATCTCACGGTTCATGAGAACAAGCCCTGTGTTGAGCTCAATGCTGGTGGCATGGAGCCTGCTCGGAATTCTCTCTCCCTCTCTCTCTGCCCCTCCCCCTCTCTCACTCTCTCAAAATAAATGAAGTTAAAAAACAAAGTAAGTATCCTTTAATCAAGAAGTTTCACTACTAAGGATTTATCTGGCAGATACCCTCAGCTGTACAAAGATGTATGTATAAATCAAAATTGTTATTATCAGCAAAACACTGTAAACAACCTAAACGCACAGCCATTAGGGCATTAGTCAAATAAATGAAGATATACCTGAATCAGGAACTTTTTAAAATTTTTATTATTATTTTTAATGTTTATTTACTGGAGAGAGAGAGAGAGGAGGAGAAGAAAAAGAGGAGGAAGAAGAGGAAGAGGAGGGGGCGGGGCAGAGAGCAAGAGGGAAACAGAATCTGAAGCAAGCTCCAGCTGAGTGTCAGTGCAGAGCCCAACGTGGGACTTGAACCCACAAACTGCAAGATCATGACGTGAGCCAAAGTCAGACACTTAACCAACTGAGCCACTCAGGCATCCCTCCAAATC